AATATAACAGTTGAGCGACCGTGCTAGAACCACGGAACTCGGGAATGCCTAACACCTTCTCCCGGGTTAACAGAATTTCTTATCCGGATTTCTGGTACGCAGACTGTAATATGAAGTCATTCTTTTCCTCGATTCGGGATTAAAATTGGTGACTTGGGACACCTTAAATCTCCTAAGTGGCGACTCTGAAATAAATAAACCAATCCCGTTTCGATTGTCCTTTAATTGGAAAAACTCCCTTGCGCCCTCTCGGGTGCGGAAAAAGGAGGTGTGACAGAGAGGAGGTGACGCCAAGGCCCCCGGATGACTGCATAACTACCTCGGGTCACCTATGTGGACTCAAGACAGCATCCTCATTGTGGTCCAAGCGCTTCGATATAGTATCTGTACACACTGCAAAGTGTAGTATCAGCACAACCGACTCCATGTGCTGGTAAGTGCCTAGCCTAACCTCGGCGAAGTACTGACGAGGCTAGAACCAGACTACCAAATAAACCTGTGCAATTAAATCATATACAGCTGAAAATAGAAGCAGATAATTACTATTAAAATTGGGCGAGGGAAACATGCTGCGGGGAGTAACAGGTAACAACAGAACGACCGTAGAGAAATATAAGGAATGCCATAAATCAATTACCAGCAAAAAATAAGGAAATAGAAGAAACAGGCACACACGTAATACTGTTGCAGGCGTGCAACCCGATCCCATTTCATACATTACCGTTGCAGGCGTGCAACTTGCTCCCATTTCACATATTATCGTTGCAGGTGTGCAACCCGCTCCCATTTCACATATTACCGTTGCAGGCGTGCAACCCACTCCCATTTCTTTTGTCAACACCAATCAAAAAAAAGGTCCCGGCAAGGGATCAATAGTATCAAACAAACATCTCGGCAATGGAACAATAATATGACAATAATATCCCGACAAAGGACCAATAATGATAATAATATCCCAGCAAGAGAACAGTAACGATAATAACATCCCAGCAAGGGAACAATAATGATAATAACATGTGAAGCGCAATAAACCACAACGGAGTCATAACAATTACAATACAAGACTCACGAGCATGCTTGACACCGACGTATAGATACTCGTCACCATGCCTATACGTCGTACTCCACAATTAACACGTAGCAAATAAGACACGACTCCTAATCCCTCAAGCTAAGGTTAGACCAAACACTTACCTCGATGCCACGAACACAATTCAAGTCTCTACTATCACATTACCTCTTGATTCCACCACCAATTCACTCGTATCTAGCCACAAATTACTTAATTACATCAATAAATGCTAAATGAATCAATTCTAATGCATGAAAATGAGTTTTCAAAAGTTTTACCCAAAAAGTCAAAAATCGCCCCGGAGTCCACAAGGTCAAAACTCGAGGTTTGAACCAAAACCCGATTACCCATTCCCCCACGAACTTATATATATAATTAGTTTTGAAATCGGACCTTAAATCGAGGTCCAAATCCCCAATTTTTGAAAACCTAGGTTCTACCCAAAACAATCAATTCCCCCCATGAAAATCATTGATTTTGAGTTGAAATCATGTGAAAAGATGTTAATGATTGAAGAAAACGAGTTAAAATTGACTTACAATCGATTTGGAAGAAGAGTTGTCTTTGAAAAATCGCCTAAGAGTGTTTTGGTTTTGAAAGAGTGTGAAAAATAAAATATTTTCGGCTAAGTTAAAAAATTGCAGGTCGCAGATGTCGCAATTGCGACCAGGGTTCGCAATTGCGAACCCAGACTTCTGCTAAGCTCGCATTTGCGAAGTGACGCTCGTATTTGCGAACATACAATCGCATTTGCGATAACGGGCCCAAATGGGGAGTATTGCATTTGCGAAGGAAAAATCTCGCATTTGCGAGGAAGGGCTGGCCTGGGCTATTTCGCATTTGCGACTTAGCCTTCGCATTTGCGAACTCGCATTTGCGAGCCAGGCTGCAGGCCTGCAATGAAACAGCTGAAGCCTGCAATTTCTCAAGTCCAAAATCCACCCCGTGGCCTATCCAAAACACACCCGAGCTCTCGGGGCTCCAAACCAAACATCCGCACCAACCTAAAAACATCATACGGACTCGCTCGTATATTCAAATCACTAAAATAACATCAACAACTGTGAATTTAGCATCAAAATTATGAAATTTCTTAAGAACTTCAAATTTTCCAAATTTTCTCAAATACGATTCGATTCACGTCATTTCTAGTCTGTTTCTTACCAAATTTCACAGACTTATCTTAAATCTCATATAAGACCTGTACCGGACGCCGGAACCAAAATACGAGCTCGATACCATTAAGTTTTAAACACATTTCATTTTCAAAAACTCATAAATATTTCAGAAAAAAAATTTCTTTAAAAATTCATTTCTCGCGCTTGGGACCTCGGAATTCAATTCCGGGGATACACCCAAGTCCCATATTTTCCTACGGACCCTCCGGGACCGTCAAATCACGGGTCCGTTTACCCAAAATATTGACCGAAGTCAACTTTGTTATTTTAAAGTCAAAATTTATCATTTTCACATATTTTCACATATTGGCTTTCCAGCTACGCATTCGGATTGCGCACGCAAATCGTGATGAGACAGAAAAAGTTTTTTAAGGCCCCGAAACACAAGAGTTACTTTTAAAACAAGCGATGACCTTTTGGATCATCACATTAGTTTTGATACACTCATATTCTTTATGTCACTATGTGAGGCAAATAAAATATCAAAGTATTTCGATTGGCAATAACTGGAAAAGTCAGATCCAGATCGATATGATATTTCTTTTGATTTAACAAAAAGGGTCATATCCAACAAGCCAGCAATTTACTGGTTGGAATTCATGTGCTTGAAATATTTAATTTGAACAAACATGTGCTAATCAATAAATTGCAGTACTTGGAATATTATACCATTAAGTTAGTCATAATGTGCTTTTTGGATATTGCTATCCATGTAGGTCAGAATTATTAAAGATGCTTGTGTTATAGTTTTCTTTAAAATGTGCAACTTATGTAAATTCATTTATGTACCTTTATAAATGGAAAAATGGCATTATATAGCTGCTGTAAAAATAATAGCAAAAAGAATATATAAAATTTGTATATTTTTTGTATATATATATATATATATATATATACATTCTGTATGTTATATACAAAATTATACAAATTTTATACACTTTTTCGACTACCAAATATAAATAGTTTCTGGCATAGGCTAAAAGTGATAATACCCCTTTACACATTTCACGTATATGTTTACATAATAGTCATAAATTTGTGTGTATTACAGTATGGTTTTTATAACTCTTTAAGAAAATACAGTCAAACCATTTTTTAACAGCCTTGGTTGTTCAAATATGTTTTGATTGATATAATAAAGTACGATTATTGAGAAAACATATTATATCGTAACATAAAAAGTTGGTTCCAAAGAAAACTAGACCGTTATAGTAAAGTGTTGTTAACAGAATATCTGTTATAGATATGTCATTATAGTAGTACACTAGTTGATAGTATTCATTAGATAATTAGACAACTCTGTATATGTAACTCTAAAGTGTTTGACTATTTAAATGCTCCTAAATCACATTTACCTTTGGAGTGTTTTCTACATAATTCTTCACAATTGAGGGTTAATAAAGTTATTTTTTAATAACTTTACCAAGAATTTTGATATATTCAAAATATTATCAGCTTATAATCAGATTTAGCATTGCCAAGGGACAAAAATAAAATATTACGTATTAATTTTTTAGTGTTACAATCTACTTTGTAACATTAAATAAAAATAAAAGCAAGAATTTTACAACACAAATTCCTCCTAAAACACAAAGGCAAAGAAGAAAAAGGTATTGGAAAATAGATTGTTTCTCTCATTAATCATATTAATTATTATGGTATAGTAACAACTAACAACTACTATATATCAAGAAAGTTCACAGCCTGGAATAACGACTCTAGTTCTACTTATTTCCGTCAATTATTGAATTTATGTTGATACATAAAATAAACATAATTGATGCAAATAAACTACGCACTAATGTTTAATACAATGGCTAACAAGCTCGAAAGGACAAGCAAATTGGCTAAGCATGAAAAATAAAGTAATGACTAATTTTTCTTGTCGCTTAATTCTTGGCTGACCTTCTCAACTTGATTTGCATTGTTAGTGTTAATTAATGTGTCCATCACTTTGTCCATATCTTTAATCTGTAAATATCCCAAAAAAGAAAGAATATTATCATCATGTACTAAAATTATACACACTGATAAAGTTAAAATAATTTCATTATCATTGTAGTTTAACCTATGATACAGACCCATATTACCATACTTATCATAAAGATATATTAGTAATTACTTTATGAGTAGCCGAATCATGTAAATATACTTATATTACGGTGCATAAAATTTAAACTCTTTTACAACAACAACAACCCAGTAATAATCTCACTAATGGGGTCTGGAAAGGGTAGAATGTACGCAGACCTTACCCCTACCCACGAGGGTAGAGAGGCTATTTCCGGGAGACTCTCGGCTCAAAAACAACATTTAAACTCTATTATTATTATTATTATTATTATTATTATTATTATTATTATTATTATTATTATTATTATTATTATTATTATTATTATTATTATTATTATTATTAAGTGTGTCAATTTGTAATACCTATCTCATCACCTTTCACTTAATTATGCAATAGGGGCGTATGTAGTATTAAGGCACAAATTCAACTGAATCCATAATTTTTTATGCGTAATATAAATTTATCGGTAAATATCTGTTAAAATTATAATAAATTGTAGATATGAACTCATAACTTCAAAAAATGGATTCAATACTAAAAATCTTAAAGATTAAACTTATAAAATCTAAATTCTGGATCCGCTTCTGAAGGCAACGACAACATTATTTTCCTTGTTCTAACCACACTTTCATTTTAAGCGACCTGACTTGTTGGGACTCATTTGATATAAAGGATAAATTGTACTTTGTGGATATTTGGTTTAAAAATGACAAAACTTTTTTTAAATTTCTTAACCTGTGTATCGGTCAAACTTCTTCACATAAAATAAAATACAACTGAATTTAAACAAAAAGAAGAAAAATATGAGACTGACCTTTTGAATGATATCTTGAGCTTCATTGGCATATTTGACTGCCCCTTCAGCTAGATTTTCTATTGAATCAAGACTTTCTTTAAGCTTTGAATCCCCTGGAAGTTTCTCTTCAATTTCTTCAGTAATTTTATCTACTTTCTCAGCAACCTCTTCTACTATCTCACTCATATTTTCCACTGTTTCTACTGCTTGTAGCACATTATCTTCAAATGCGTAATCCAGAAAATAAATATATACCATTTCCTATAAATATTATGATAATTAAATATAGGGATTCACATACTTCAAATAAAAGTTTACCTACTTTTGAGTAGTTGTAGAGGACTGACTTTGTTCCTAAATGAAGGTAGTATTAGAGGTAGAAGAAACCCCAATAACCATTTCCTGCATATAATATATAAAAACTTCAAAATTTGATAACCCCAGAAAACCTTCAGTAGACATTTTTCTAGGGTTTGATCCAATCATATTACGTTTCTTTAACAGAACCTCCACCCCCCCCCCC